GGAGACAGGAAAGGGTAGGCTATATGAAGGAATAGTGTTCGTACCGCGAAGGGGAGGGAGGAACGCGGGAGTGTGGAAAAGGGCAGAGCGCGGGTGAAGAGTCACAGAGGAAAAGGAAAAGGAGAAGGGGAGAAGCGACAAATGAAAGGTAGAAGGGAAGAGGAAGGCGGGGAAGGGGGGGCAGAGGGAGGGTCATGGATGGCTTAGCAGAGATGGGCCGGGCGTGTGAGGGAGGCGTGCGTACCCGCTATCATAACCGTGATAGGCCCGAGGAAGAGGCAAACGATGGCGAGCAAGGGGAGGAAGACGCTGGGATTGTTCCATCCTGGGAGGGAGGCGAGGGCAGAAGAGGGCATGCGGGCGTGAGGGGGGTAGCAACCGCGACAGCAACGAATGTCACGGTCGGTTAGGGTTACGTACCTGTAAGACCCAGCCAGACATAAATGGGGAGACCGGCTCCTGGCGAGGGAGTGGCGAAGAGAAGAAAAATCCTGTGTGCATTGATATTGATGAATTGATGGTCGCACGACAGGCAGTCTACCTCCCCCCTTGCTGGTGTCGCTCGAGTCGGTACCGTATTGAAAGGAGGCACGCCACAATCACGGACACGAATCGTGCCTTGATATGAAGAGGGTCATCGCGGTGCCGGAGTCGGATGGAGGCGGGCAAGAGATACAAGGACGCGACGTACAGGATCGCCATACTGAGACATGCGGCCAAGGCTAGTGTGAGGGAGGAGGGCTGTAGCCCGGCATGGGCTCGAAGCAGGGAGGGCGGAAGGACCGCTGGGTGTAGCACCATTAAAAATGGAGCGTTGCCTCTCTTGAACACGCCTCTCCGATCCTGAGGTATATGTGTGTGTAGGAATTAGATATCATGCCTGAGGGAAGTGATACACGAAGGGAACTATGACGGCGCGGCTACTGAGGATCGCCTCGTAGTCCATCAATTAAAACGTTCCGCACATGTTTTCTCTCTGTCTTTGATCCAAGCACCAGAAATGATGGAAAAAGGGAACATATTACACATTTGTTTTTGGTGTACTGGTTCTATCGCTTATTTCTCTCTTCAGCGACCTCCCCCCACTCGGCCTCAAGCCGATGCCAGGGTCGCGTTACGTCAAGCGCCCCCAGACTGGGCATTGTGGTAAGAAGCTGTGAGATTCTGGAGCTCTCTCATATGACAGATGCCGAGATGGAGGCGATGACAATATTTGCGTGCGAAGTGCTGTCATATGAATAAGCTTTGTCTTGGCCACCTCCTCCCCTTCCAGTGCAATTTTGTCCCTCTCGACTCCCGCCGGCTGATTGGCTTTAATTTCCCCCCCACACGACACAGAGAGGTAAGATATTGCGGTAAGTGATCGGTGCCTTGTCATGGAGCAGATGGAGGCGAGCTCCCCGGAGGAGACGGTGGATGGCGCGGAGACAGAGGAAGAGATGCGGAAACGTCACAAGGCAGAAGTCCGGGTGAGCGCATGGGGAGGAGGATATCAATGCCAATGGTTGGCAGGGTTTGGAAAACCGACATTTGGAAGGGAAAATGGATAATGGAAACCGGGAAAGAAAAAAAGTCTGACCGATTTCCTCGGCGTTATCCGGCTTTCCTAGCAATTGGAAGGGAAGACAAGGGCCCTCTTAAAGAAAGCCCCAAAGCCCAAAAAGGCAGAAGTGCAAGGTGAGGTGGCTAGGATGGAGCGGGACATGGAAGAACGTCACGCACGGGAACTGGGAAAATTCGCAGCGGCACCGAATGGCGGGAGGTAAGGTGGGAGCAGGTACAGGGGTTGAGAATAAAGCAAGTGCACTGATCTTTCGCTCTTGTGAGCTGCTTTGGTTCCTCTCACCGTGATTAACCGGCCTGAAATTGCATCTACCTCTAGAAATGAAGGAGGAAATGGCGGGGGTTCGGGCAGTAAGGAAGTGAGATTCGCGCCCTTGACCTCTGGGTCGAAAAATGGGCGCCAGGAGGGAGGAGAAGGAAGGGGGAAGGGAGAAGAAGGGGAGAGTGAGGAAGAAGAGGATGGCGGGGCCACAGCTGCTGAAAAAGTGGCGCGAAAACGCGACAAGGCGAGACGGAAGAAGGAGCGAAAGGCGGAAAGGTAGGAAAGGAGGGAGGGAGGGCGGGAGGGAAGGGGCGATGGATGGTAGGTACTGTTCTTCGCGCATTTCCTGAGCCGAGACGTCTCTGCGCCCGCAGAGAAGCAGAGGAGGAGGCTGCCCGGGCGCTTGCCAAGGAAGGCGTCGTCTCTCTGCGAGACCTGGAGATGGGCCAGATCCTCTCCCTCCTCTCCCCCCTTGGCCTCCGCGTCCAGGAAGTCCCCGCCGACGGCCACTGTCTCTACCGTGCCGTTGCACACCAGGTGCGTGTCTCCTTCCTCTTTTTTTGTTTCCTCTTTTTTCATTCCACGCTCGATTCCTCCGTCTCCCTTTTTGGACACGGCAACGCAAATAGATCCCGGTCGCCTACCCCCCCCCTTTCGACCAGCGCTTTCTCCCTCCCCACCTCCCGCCCACCTTGGCTGTCCTTTTCCCCTTCTCCCTCCTCCCTCCCACGCAGCTTGAGCACCAGGGTATTCCCTCGCAGGGCTACCCGGAAGTACGGCGATCCGCCGCTCAATACATCCTGTCCCACCCTGAGGATTTCCTCCCTTTCCTAGCAGGAGGGGAGGAAGGGGAGGCAGCGGGCTTGGAGGCGTACGTGCATACGGTGGAGGACACGGCGGAGTGGGGTGGGGAGCTGGAGATACGGGCGCTGGTGAGGAAGGGTTGGGAGGAAGGGAGTGTGGGAGGGAGGGAGGGAGTCAGGGCCGTACGGAAGGAAAGAGAGACGAACGCGCGACCTTGGTCCCGGGCTGATCCCCCTTGTCGCGGCTCAATCAGCTCCTCCTTCCTCCTATCCCTTCCTCCTCTCCAAGTGCCACGCGTACCAGACACCCATTCGGGTGTATGCTGCGGAGCAACCCGTCTACATAATCGGGGCAGAGGACTACGACCAGGCCACGCCCCTCCTATTGTCCTACCACAGGCATTTTTACGCGTTGGGCGAGCACTATAATAGCGTGGTCCCAGTGGAGGGACGGGTGGAGGAGGGCTGAACTAGAAAAGAAACGGTCGTAAGGGCGGGCGGATAAATTTTAGTTTGGCCGGAGGGAAGACGCACCTCTTTAAGGCTCCCGCCCTGGACATTTCTTATTTTGGTTTGCCTAGATTTTTAAGCTCACTTTCTCTGTTCCACCTCCTGTCTATTCTGCTGCCTCCTCCTCCTCCAATTTCAGCTCGGCAAATCCGAGGGATGCTACATGAGGAAGAAAAACAGGACATGTCGACGTAGGCATGGGCCCAACTTGTGTCACAGCATCATTTTTTCCCTTCCCTTTACTTTTGCTTCTCAAATAAGCGCAACGTTTTTTCACTTTACGGCATGGTAAGCCCAATTTTGCTGCTAAATGAATGACTTCATCCTCCTTCCCCTCCCACTCCCCACCCCATCTGTGAAAAGCCAGTTCTATTTCTTGAGCTTGTAGAGGCGTCAACCACTCTCTTTTCTTTCTATCTTTATTTATCTCGTCTGGGACAAATTTCTTTTTTTGTCTGAGGTAGGCAAGTCGCTTCTTTATTGTCCGTGGGGGCAGAGATACTGCAGCGGCCAGTGACTCGAGCTCCTCTTCTCCTTGCTCTTTCCAGTCTCCTCCCCAAGCATCAAAAGCGGCCTCCACAGCTGCAGCTTGTGATGAAGTCAGCCACTGCCTTTTCTTCCTACCTTCGCTCGAAGAAAAAAAACAAGATGACCTAATTTCCATCTAGAGGGAGTCAGGGGGAAGGAGCGGCCCATCACTGGTTGTTGCACGTAAATCACAATTTTCATATTATGCAAGTGATATTTGGGTGTCTCAAAAATTACGGTTCATGAAAGTAAAATTCATTTTTCATATTCTCGATATCTTTGTCTTACCAAGCATCACACTCGTAAACTCTTGACAGGTGGTAATGGGTACGAAGGAGGGGAGGCTAATGAGAACTTCTTGAAGGGCGCACGGCGAGAGGGAACGTAGGCTACGGTCCACGAACCAAAAAAAATGCTCAGAAAACACGAATCGCAAACTACCAAATTGTTAATCCCCGATCGTGATTTTGTAAAACTTAACAAATATAATTACTTGCAAGTTTAAATATCTTGGAGGTTTATGAGCAGCTTGAAAGGGCGACTAGCAAGCTTCGTCACAGCAGTAAGCACTTTTTAAGTTTCCTTCATTTCCCTCCCACTTTTGAAGCTCAATTGTCGAACAGAGCGCTATTGCTGGTAAATTTATGTGTTAGTATTTGACATGCATCACAAACAACGATCATGTGGACAATTAAAGTTTTGACCTGCGTCGCACTGCGGAGCCTCGCCTTGAGTTGCATTGCGTACAATCCATTTGAACAGGAAAATACCCGCAGAAGGGAGTGAACTGCCATAGTGAGATGCATGATCGGTCAGGAAAAAAATTAAATAGGATGGGAGACAGGAAAGGGTAGGCTATATGAAGGAATAGTGTTCGTACCGCGAAAAAGGCGGCCACAGAAACTTTGGAACACAACGCAGAGAGCGGGAAAAAGAGGGAGGGCAGAAGGATGGGTTTATTATTAAGAAGAATGATAGGATGAGGAAAGAACAACGGAATGCGGGAGCTTGTAGAGACGATGCTGGGAATATTTTTGAGGGAGCAGCAGAAAGTGGATTGCGAGGAAGGCAGAATAACATGTGCTTTCCTCGTTACAAAAGCAGCTGCAGCGGCGCTTCAGTAAGTTTGAAGAACAAGAGCTCATCAGTATGGAAAAATGAGATGTGCACAGCAACAATTGCATCGCATGTTGTGATATTTAACATGTGATGTGTTCCCTGCATGGAGGGGGCGAAGTGAAGACGGGGCTTCATGGTCATTCAGAAAAATAAATGAAAAATCTAAGGGAAAAAGCTGTTTCTTTTGATAGAAGAAAGCAACAAAAAGGCTTTAAACACTTAAACCACTACTTAACTTTGTGAGGGGCGCATCTTTCTTCTATTCGACTCCTCAGACAAGATACCCGGATAATCTTCCCGTAGCGGAGAGCCCAAGAACTTTCTCATTTCTAAGCCAAGATGGTCTACATCTCTGGCAACATCTCCACCTAGTACATCACATGATATTGTACAAGACTTGATTAAAGTGTTTTTAAAGCTGGTGTTGTTAATGTCAC